CAAAATCCTACAAGTCCTACAAAGTTTGAAAAGAGTTATATACGTACCAGCAACGTTGCTTGTTCAGCCGATCTGCGATGGGCCCTAGCAGTGATCTGTTTATAGGGGAAATATATGACGAGTGAGATCTTCTTCGCCTAGTTTTTTATGGAAACCACCAAAGTAGGCTCTATTTCGATTCTTCAGACCGACGGACTGAGGGACGTTTCGATCAACATGTCATTTTTTGGGGGTGGGGGAGAGGGTGAAAACAACATTTTGGACCGCTTTAACGTGTAATGTTGTTTTGGGCTCCCCAAACCTGACAGTACATGAGAGGTGCAGACTCTAATTTGAGGTAGTACCAAGGCTCCGTTAAATTTTTTCATATTAATCTTGTATGCACTTCTTCCTGTTAATATAGCACAGCTACAGTATAAGGGCCCCATACCCGAGGAAAATGAAGTTATTAGGATTCTTATTACACAACATAATCCCCCCACCTCCGTACACCACCCACCCTGGCTAGTGGCACGGCCCTGCTAGTGCATCCGATTGTCTGAAGATAACTTTATAATGGTGCACATTTTGAGTCCGCGATACAAATGGATCAGTGTATGGATAGGATAGTACGAACGAACATTATTTATAGGCGCCTAGAAATACATGCATGCCTATATATTTTCTACACATTCATTTAGCATGAAGTATTTAATCATTAGCCAACACTGAATTTCAACTTTTTAAAATTTTTAAATGTTTTTGAACAAAATGGCAAAAATAATTTAAACATTAGTACTTTTAACTATACAACAATGAATTTCCAAAATATATACTGCAAGCGTATGTTATTATTTTGCATTTTGTGGGCTTTGAGTTAATGCAAAATTTAATTTGACGCTTTGTAAAATGTTTGCCATGTTCATTCAACTAAACTGCTTTTGCCGATATAACTGTTTTAACTTAAGAAAACAAAATAAGCTCAAGTTATTGAGTAATTTCAGTGAAATTAATTTTCTCTCCTTTACATTTCAATTATTTTTCAAAACTATATCGGGTACGTACGGTTATGAAACTTATAACTACATTGAAAAGGAAAGCAGTGCATGTTTTGCGCAAAAAATAAAGAAATTCATTAAAGTGGCACTATCATTAAATTTTTTTTCATAATCCAGAAGTATAACGCATGCTTGATATTCTTACCAAATTTCAAGGTAAAATTCGTTCATCTTCCTGACTTTACGATTCTTATTTGCCAATTTTACGGCCGCCATTAAGGCGTTTTGAAGAGGATGTGACGTCATTCACTCAACACGCCGAATGTTTTTATTGTATTTCACTATTATTTCAACAATGTCTTCGTACAAAGGAGAGTCAGAAACTTGCATTGGAACAAAGCGAGCTGTGTTGAAGAAACATATACGGTGACTCACATTCAAGTGAAAATAGTGATGAAAAGAAGAAATCAAACCTATTATTGTTAATATTTGTTGACAATAAATGGCTATCTTGTTTGTTGTTGAAAACATGGCCTTTGCCCTTTGGCTTTCGGTCAATAATAATCCTTGTTTTTACAAACTTACTTTTGAAGTTGAAAGGATAATTTCCATCACTCGTTCAAAGTTTAATATACATCACAGCAACTTGATAGTTTCTCACATACACAAAACATAAGCCGCGATGGAAAGAAAACCTTCATCGTACTGCGTATGATAATAAACCTTTCGGTCAATCAAAATACGAACAAAAATACAAACAAATGCCTTATAATTTATAGCTATAAATAATATTTCAATGCATGTGTGACTAATAACTGTCTATCGGTCTATTTCTGTATGTTTAACGACTGTAAATTTAACTGACAGGGAATTTTAAGTGCAAGTAAATATCCTACGACTCTATATGCGCGTTTTCGCTTGCCGTAAGATTCATATTGTAGGCCGGCTAGTATTGTATAGCAAACTATATACAGTACTAGAAAATACATGCATGCAGAAACCCTCGCCTTGCTGACAAAACCATTGTATTTTCCGAACATGAAGTATCTAAAGTAGTTGTCATGGTAACACGATAATTTTTGTATCTGCGAAGCAGATCACTGAGGAAGCAGATATATTGCTATCGCAAACGTGACCGTACCGTAATGTTACCGTATGTTAGCACATAGCCATTCAGCGACGCGCTTATATAATTTAAGCCAATTTAAGCCACTCAGTGATTCGTTTACATCAATTGTTTACATCGTGCCCGCATCTAACCTGCGAACGGGCATACTTTAGCCTCGTCAGGCCTCGTGCTCGTGTATAAATTGTGTTTATATTCTTTCAAAAATATCTTGATATTTTTATCAATTTACCTTGAATTGGCTGTCTTGTTTTCTCGCCATTCTACTTGCGATATTATTCCGAAGTTATTTATCAACATGGAATCTTATCCTCATCTGGTAAGTAGTCAAATACCACATATTTGTGCGAATATATGTCCCACATATTTTATAATACATGAGTTCGCCAGTTCGGCAAATATTTACTATACTATCTATATAGTTAATATTGCCGTATCTTCGGCGTAGAGTTTACATGGAATGCACTCTGGAATTTTTTTAATATATTACACTGTATAAAATATTGGATATCTTCTTGGATATTTTAAGCCATTTGTCAACATAGTTCACAAAAAGATTTATAGGCTTTATACAGTCTTAAAAACAATCCTTCTGTGACTTCTGTAATATTTTAATTAAACAGTGAAAACATACCAAAATATTGCCATATTGTCAATGAACAATATCAAAGGAAACTATTGGGCAGTTCTCAGGAGATATTGAATTAAATCCTGGTCTGTATTTCTGCATATTGACTCTGTAACATAAAATACTTATACATTTTGGTTTTACACATTAGAGTTAATTAACAAAATTTTCAAATGCTAATAAAAGAATCCTGAGCCTTTTTACATTGTCATTTGGCTTTCTAACATAAATGTTTTTGTTTAGAGGTTAATACAAGAAGGAAGAATAAATGTACTGCATGACATTGGTTGGATAATTTTGTCAGAACAACCCACTTGCAAGACAATCTTACCTAAATTTATTAGAATGGAAAATAACTTAACAGCTACAATTAATAACTATATGGATGGACTTGATCAATGGCACACAATGTACAAAACTAAACTTGTGATACCTTCTACTCAAACCGATAATCTCCCACAACACAATTGTTTTTGTGTGAATGTGCCGTACGTATTAAACTGAACAGTGTGGTATATCATCAACTGTGCACAAAACTGGAATTGAATTATATACTTCACTCATCATCTTCAATTACAATAAAGTTTTGAAAATTTGATGAGTATGGATTGAATTGACAGGTGACAGTTTACTAAATAGCCGGCTCTATAGACACTTTGAATATTAATGTTTGCATGAAATTTTTATTTCCTGACTGCATAATTATCTGTTACAATCATAATCACATTATAAAATTAGTTAAATTTTCTCGGTGCGGGGGTGGGGGGGGGAGAGCACTTGCCCTGCCGCTCTCCCCGCTGTGTACAGCCCTGTTTTAAATCTTATCTGCTATTAGAATAAGACCTAATAAGTGATGAAATATTTCAATTGTCCCATGTCATCTTCATTATTCAGTTTCTTTCAAGAAAATACAAAATGTGAATCGTTTTTTCGCAGATACATGTACGCGTAGCGTACCTACTTTCTCGTCATTAAGTTTGTGTATACAGATTTAAGTTTGTATTTAGTTGCCAACCTTGGGGATATATATTACAAAATGACACAACGCTATTGTGATGTTGCACGTACTTCATGTAATACAAATTATAGAGGTTAACGTTTTACTGTACATTGAAGCATTGCATGTCAAAGCATTGCATTTTAAAGCAAATTGTATGGATTTTTTTTTAATAAAAGACCTTTTCGGGAGACCTATGATCAAATATTAAATCATGCATTCACCTCCAAACAGATGCCACATTCATCATGGGCTGAATCAGGACGACATTTATGATTTCCACGAAGTTGAACATCAAGACAAATACCACAAACATCACAATGAAACGAGCGATCCCCATGAATTCTAGAAAAGAAACGTTTTTTATTCTCAATCTCGATCAATCACTCTGATGAGATAAAGGTTGTACAAAAGTAATCGTTACATTCCCTACTATTTTACGTCAAGTTCTCACCTGCAAATGCCACATTTATCGCAATGATAGGGGTGATCATCATTTCCAGTAAGATGTTTGCACAGACCACAGTAGAAATTGGCGAATTGAGTGTCACATGAAACACAAAATTGACCATTTTCACCAAACTAGAAAGAAAGAAAAATGAAGAAAAATTATGAAATCATCGTCTAGGAGCTGAAATTAATATATTATTCTCCAACACTGAATATATTTGACCATTTTTGCTGAACGAAAGAATGAAATCCAAAAATAATAGTTTACGTGTTTTTAGCAATAAAATTTACCGGATATCAGGAATTATTTATACAAGGTCTGTAGGAATGAGGTATTCTGCAATCTGATTGGTTGTCTACTAGCAGGATATTAGCTCATATCCTGCTAGTAGAGGAAAACAAAAATGGCGGCTCAAATTTAATTCTCGACGTTTTGCGAACGAGAAAACGGCAAGTTGTTGTTAGCAAATGAATTTTTGAAATTAAAATTCTGTGAATTCGGCCGAACCTTGTGTATGAAAGAGCGAAGATAAAAACATAAACAAAATAAAAAAATATTGAAAATATCCGAACAGCAAAGTCTGTGAATTCAGACCTTGTACATATAATGAAACAGTTATTCCTCTCACTCTCGTCGAGTGCTACGCGCCTCGTCGGCTATCAGCTCATATTCGACTCGAGTTCGTTGAAAAACTTAATTATTTTCCAAACATAGACGAATTCAATCCTAGCTACATTTTCAATATTGTCCTCATCAGTTGATCAAGCAAGGAAAGAGTCCGTTAACTTTAAAATTGTCGATGCTGACATGATATGCATTCCTTGCTTTTTCTTTCAACCACATTACAATAAAAAGTTAAAAATTCATGCTATTTATTTGAAAAAACATAAAACCTTTGGAATCTAAAAATATGAACCGTTTCAATATGGCGTAAAATCTGAAGAATTTTATGCTGCATATTTTTAGATTTTTAAGTTTTTACGCTTTCAAATAAATCTCATGGAATTTCAACTTTTCTTTAAAAGTGTGTTGAAAGACAAAAGAAGGTGTATTATGTCTGCATAGCTATTTAAATCCTACATTTCCCTTGATTCAATGATCTCTCTGTAAAGAGCTGTACTGAAAGAATCACAAAGATGCGCAGACAACATTAACATATTCTACGTTACCTGTTGTTCTTTTCCGCATTCGACACACTTGACCATCGTTGTGTCACGTGATTTCAGTTTCTTCCGCCCACACGTGCTCTCGTTGTTATGACAGCGGTGGCATGCCCAGTATTTATTGCAGCATTCGAATTTCACCAAGCACCTTCTTTTGTAGTGATTGCATAGCCAATTGTCTTGTAAATTGCCGTTCCTTGGCCCATGAAAGTGGTCATCCGGATGGCGTTGAGAAGAACCATTGTATTGTGCAGGACGATTCTGGGCGTCATGAGATGACGGTTCCCTCGATTTTGGACGTGTCTGAGACGAAGGCTGTCCTATGTTCGACAACTTATTTCCGATTTTTGTTGTAGTAACTGGAGCATCATTTGTGCTTACCATGTTCTCACCACCTGCGTATCCTTGGTTAAATTGATAAATGGCATTTAATTAATATTTGTTAATTTGTTCATTGTTTATTCTCTCTTCATGTTGTTTCAGGAGTAGAGCAAAGGTGTGGTAAAAGTGGTAACATAAATTCATAAGACTATATGAGGCGGGGATGGGGCTGTGGCAAGAGCTACTGTAGCTTCCCTTCCAGTAGAAATGAAGTTGGGAAAATTATAAACGTAAGTTGGGAAAAAGTTGGAGGAAATAATTTTTTACAACAAAAAATATGTTATGATACTAGTGGAAAATGTGTATTCTTGACAGTGGCATAGATTTCGGAAATAACATAATATATCAGAAATAAGTATTGATTTGAATTAATAAAAATGTTTAAATTAAATAATGGAATAATAAAATAGTTTGTTTATAAACCTCTTGTGTTATTAACTGCAGGACAGTCAGGAACATCTTCTGAATTTTCATACGTTGAACATCTACTGCCACTTATTACAATCGAATTGCTTGTGCTGGCAACATTTGAGTGGGGAACATGGGGATTCCTGACAATGGATACGCCATTGTTCTCGTCAGCTTTGCTAGGTCGTTCAAATACTTCAACATTGCTCACCCGGTTAACGGGGTTGGACCTTAGTAGAGATCTTGGAGTGCTATTGTGTGGTAGAAGAACTCTAGATGAGTGTACGCGATTTATATTGGCCACTCGTTCATGACTAATGTTTATCGACTTATGCTGATTGATCAACTTCCTCAACTTATTGTAGTCACCATCATAAAATTCATCAATAAGGTATACTAGATCAAATCTTGTGATTGACTCGAAGAATAAACGGAGCTGACCTAAATCCGATGCATTGATAGCACCTTTCTGGTCCAATTGTAAAATAACTTTAGCTGCACTTAAATTACTGTCGACTGTGAATTTATCATTTGCCCATTCTTTAAGCTTGATAATATCACTATATAGCAACCTATCAGATATCGTTAGTAATAATAGTCTGTAAATGTTGTAGACATGGGCATTAACTGAAGTAGAAAGTTCATTTATGAGGCCCAAGGGCTGTGCATTACTTCTTTCATGTACCTCAGTAGGAAATGGCGGTGAAACTTCAATGCTTTCATTGTTCGGTCTTACATTGCTGCCTTGGTTCTGACTTTGAGCTTCAAATCCTTTGCTTTTGTTATCGCCTTGACATGCATTTAACACTACCAATTCTCCATCTGCGCCTACAAATTGCTCTCCTGATGGAGACGGCAGGGACAAAGCAAGCAATGGTTTCTGTTCGTCCTCGGACTGAACGCTGTTCGGCTGAACGTCAGAATTTATGGTTGACCAGTGGCTAAAATGAGACGAACTATTACCTGCCATGTTAACAACTAACGATTCCGATAGCTTTGGAGAAAATAGTTTCTGAAATGTCTCGCTTTTTTTCCCTAAGTTCGTTTTGGAATCGCTCTCCACGGAAAGTCGTCCAAAGTCAAGTAGTGTGTCTTCGTATTCCTTTTGCAAATTTCCATTTATATCTTTCAACTGCTGTAGTTTGTTTTCTAGCGATATTTTTTCTTCAGATATATTTTTTATCTCTATTGAATATTCATATTTCATTTTGAAACATTTTCTTTTCTGTATGGCAAATTGACTTTTCATTTCTTTTATCACCTCATCATTTTCCAGCAATTGCTGTTTTAGAGCAACATTTTCTTCCACCAGCATTCGATTGTTTTTCTCTGTCTCATAATTTAGCCCATCAGGACATTTTTCAAACTCTTTATCCCCATCGAAAGTTTGTGTAGCTTGATCACGTGTACAGACAACGCTTTTAAAATTCGTGGAGGATAATAATGCTTGGATTTGGTTCATGAATATCATGGCAATGTTTGTGTTCATAACAATGAAATGGGGACAGTTTATCCCAAAATTATCAGGAGCACAACCAACAGGACTGAACCAATTTCCTAATATACATACAGTTTTTATGCGTGTATAATTCCTTAAGAAATCAATTTGAAAATTTTGTAATTTTATATCTTCAACAAACGAATAAACCAGTACATTTCTTTCGCCGCTATAAGTCAGTTTAGCATAGAATTTTTGTCTTGCTGTTTCACAAATCACCAACAAATTCATATGGTCGGACGCTGACCCAAAAGGAAGTAAATAGATTTCCATGGTGCAATAAATCCTGATTACTCGCTGGTCCACCTGTTCCCCGGCGAGTATAGATTTCGGCACGCATTTGTAAAGGATCTCCAATCGTCGATGACCACAAAATCGAGTATTAATGAGCTGCCAATTTATGCCCAAATTGTCCATCAGGCTTCTTTCAATGTTTATCCAAATTATCCATAAATAATCCTACGTTTTGAGAAAAATTCAAGAATTTTGCTAAAAAAGCCAAAGCTGTTGTTTATGTCAACCAGTAGGATTATGTTTACGTTCTTTTAAAACAGCTTTTTTACTGCATTGAGGATTCAACGACAAAAATAATGAATTTGGAGATGTAATAATGCCAAATTAATCCTGTTAAGCTGTCAAAATGACAACTTATAGCCCGACAAAGACAGAAATACAAAGTCAAAGACCGCGATGCACAGAAACAATTGTATGAAATATAAACTCGATATAAGACTGCTAAGTCACAGAATAAATAATAAGACCAGTTGTAAATAATAAAGAATTTTGATGTCCCCGCGCATGTCGCTTCGTGCATCTTGGCCGCGTCTCGTTTCCAGTGCCCTACACAAATGTAATTTGACAAATTTACATGTAAACATTATGGAGTGAGGAAGTTAAAACGATACCAATCGAGTTTTAGAGCTTTGGTGACCATTTTAACAAAAAATATGATAAATTCAAAGGTAAGTCTATCATATTGCATTGTCTTAAATGAACTCTCAGCTAAAGTACGGCAATAAATGGATCATAAATTTAGTTAAATTTACTGTTGACAACAAGGTTGACAGATCCATTACTTTTTTGCTTTGAATAGCTTTACCATAGTCATTTTACCTTAAAATGTACCTGCTGAGGATATCTCTAAGAGATTTTACACAGATTATTTGCACAATCTCACGATTTAATCATGCTGATAACATGAAAATCCTTGTGCCATTGTATACTTGGCATAATCTCCACATCAATAGTTCACCAGTTCAACACT